TTTTTTTTTTTTTTTTTTTTTGTGGTACGCGGGCCTCTCACTGTTGTGGCCTCTCCCATTGCAGAGCACAGGCTCCGGACTCACAGACTCAGCAGCCATGGCTCACGGGCCCAGCCGCTCCGCAGCATGTGGGATCTTCCCGGACCGGGGCACGAACCCGTGTCCCCTGCATCGGCAGGTGGACTCTCAAAGCACTGCACCACCAGGGAAGCCCCATGTCTTCTTTTTTTTAAGTGGCTTATGTCTCAAAACCATCAGGGTTTTTTTTTTTCTGGTAAAAGGAGGAGTTTGCACCTGTGAAAGCTATCTTACCAAACCACAGAGCAGCAGGAATGAAAAAAATGTATCCATAGAGATGAACATTCACATGGTCAAAACAAAAAAACTCTTGGATAAAAATGTTATCCTGGGGTTGTTTCACAGAGATTAAAAACTGTTATATAATCAACACAGTAGAGCACTTAGATCATAAAAGAGGAAGTTTATGAATTAGGTCTAGATTTGTTCATTAATATGGATTAACAATGACAGTATATCAGAATACAGTATACTCCACAGAAAATATTGAATAATTTACATGATTTCATTTACTATGGGATATATTGATACTCTCATTTTGGGAAGAATTATGTTCATGACAGAAATAGAACATGCTTAAGTTTTTCTGCTTCTAAAGCAGCACACAGCAATGACAATATGAAAATGGAAATATTTACATTTACGTCAACAAAATTAAAAACATACATACAGCTTATATTTCTATTAACTTTTAAAAGAAAAAGTTTTAAAACTCTAAAGAACAAATACATAAATACAGAAATCCAAAGCATTACTTTTATAATATTCCCCTAAGGAAATATGCCAAAAAACAAAAAAGGAAGAAGAAACAAAAAAAAGGAAAGAATCCACTTGTTTAATATGGCGCCTTAATGACAATCATATTAAGGACAGATACTCACCTTCTTTGGGTTGAGCCATAACTGGAGTCTGAGTTTCCTTCGTATATGTGACGATTTCACGAGGAGGAAAGTCAACTTGCGTAATTTTAGCCATTCCAAGTTTAATAGGTCCTCGTCTAAATAAAGTGAACACAAATGTTTTTAAATATTACAAATGATATATTTTAACTACATCAAATAATGTTATTTTATAAAAGTAATAATTAAACACTATATATCCAACAGTGTAATTTAAATCCCTGTTTTATTCAAGAAATGTTAAATGAACTGGCTTTATTTTAACAAAAGAATTAGAAGGTAGCAAAAACAAAAGATATTTCTGAGTCATTCAAGGTTTATTTTTCACTTTAAAAAGGCAAATAATTTAGTTTCTTAGAACAAATGTGTGGGTAATAACAGAGTAAGAGGAGAGGAATTTCAGAGCAGACTGCTGAAAAAGGTTGGTTATGAGAACTGTTTCTAGCAGGGATACGATTCTGGACATTTTTTCAAGAGTCAAATATGTGGATCTCACTCAGACCACATTTAGCTCCCTTCACCATCAGAAGACTTCAGCTTTAAGAGTTAGAAAAATTTCTGTTGAAAACCGTTTTTTCTACTTATATTCTGCAGAAATTGAGAATCATACAGTCAATTTAGATTTTAAAATAAAATATTTAACCTTTAAATCTCTAATCTCTGCACGGTCAACATGGTCCTTGATTCACATACGGACAAATTATTGTGCAAACATGTTAGACCTAAACTAAAGCCACATATCTTCTGAATATCATGAAATTACTAAAGCCACTTCTGTTTTAAATAGGGGGGAATACATTCTTTTCTGACAAACAGAAGAAGAGACTTGTGGCTATTATAGTAGATGTCTAAATTCTAAACCAAATACAGCATGCTTCCAAACTCCCAAGGTTCTCAATGATGAATCTGTCTTAAAAGAATATCTAGTAAAAACAGTGGTGGAACTTCCAGAATATAAAGGAGGATATCTGAAATACACACACACACACACACACACACACACACACACACACATCATTGGTAATATAACAACTTTTTTCTTATATAAACATCCTTTTCAAAATCCTGTACAAAAAAGTTTAATAAAATTAGTACATTTAAAGAATTAATTTTCTCTAAGGTCCCAAATGTGGGCCATAAGAAATTTTTAATGTGTTTTCTACCTTGGGAATATCTAGCCTTAAAGAAAAAAAAAAAAAAGCATAATCAAAGAATTAAATGGGAAATTTTAAGTACATTTGAAGTAATCTAGTACTCTAAGAACAAAATCTGAAATAAGAAACTTTATATTCTGATATTTAAGATGTAAACCATATGAAAAGTAAGTCACTCACATATCTGATAAAAAACAGTCAAGCCAACATTAGGAACAAGTTACTAACTTGAGTACATATAGGGTTTAATAGGTAAAAATCACAATACTAGAACAAACAAAATATTCTAAGATTTAGGGATAGATTTAGGGAGGTAATACCTCAGTTATCCAAAGCCACTTTTACTGAGAACAAGCCAACAACTGGGGGGGTGGGGAAGCCTCAGGGCAGCCGAGAGAGGCCTACCAGCTAATGTACAAGAAGCTCATATACTTTTCGTATATGGCCTAATTCAAGGCTTATTAACTCTTAACTTTAGACATAATTCCTAAAGGTGTTGGTCATATGTTTCAGAAGCTGCAAAATATCAAGGGAAAAGAGCTATCTGAGTCAGGCACAATGGCAGCAGCAAACATTTATAGTTTGCACTGGAGACTAGAATAAATAAACGAATGAATAAATGAATTAATGAGTAAATCAATAGCAATCTGGAGCCACGGTGTAGAAACCAACAGCTCTGTTCCTCTCAAAGCCTTAGAAATCATCAGGGAATTTTAAAATAGAAAAATAAATTAATATTCATGTTGAGTAACCTAGAAAAGGTTCAATTACATATAGCGTATTTATTAGAAAAAGTATGGGAAGTTTGTAATACATTGTAGAAAAACTTACACCAAAAATATAGAAATAATAAAAGTAATTTGGACATTTAAATGGGTAGACTTAGGGTACCTCTAAAATCAGATACATAAAATATGTCTTTCACAAATGATAGAGGATAAATGAGGTGTCACAATAAAATATCACTCTTCAAACTATTACCTGAATATTAGAAAGTTAAGCAAAATAAAATTAGGACAATTTCACAAAGAATCAAATTAATTATAAAAGAGGGAAGGTAATAAATCTATTCAATACCCCAAATCGGAATCTGAGTGAAGCTGAAGAACTGATGGATCTGTATCCCAATGCAGCGTCCTAAACGGTTGTAGGACAACCATGAAGCATTAGCAAAAAAGGCCATAAGTTAGTCAAGCAAATACATTCTACGAATAGCTAAAGTACGGTTCACAGTTAAAACCCACATGTTCTGGTTAGTACAAAAAAACACCAGGTATCACTCAATGCTCTAGTGCATGCAATAAGCATAATATGGTTAAAGATGCAAACATACAACCTAGAATAGTTAAAAGACAGTATTTTCAGATTTTGGGAAACTAATATTGCATAGTAATGGCTAAGAACAGCCAAAACATCCAACATCCCAAATAACACATTATTTTTGGATGATAACAAGCTAAGCTATAAAAAAAACCGTTGAAATTTTAAGTTTCCTAATGAAAAAAACATTAGTAAAAACATCTTAGTTAACATATTATAATCTTGCCCAAAGCATTAAATGTGTGCAGGAAATTGTCATATTGGTAAAGGAAATGAGTCAACACATAAGCCTTTCTGTAAGAAAACCAAAGGCTATTCCACTGGGATACAAAATAGCTAAAGTTTCCAAAATGTGACCCTTATGTAATTTATGGGTTAAGCACTGCCTTGGGCTTACATGTCATCTGCTTTAGAAAGCAGCTAAAGATTTCTGTCTCTAGGAAAAAGTAGATTTTTTTTCCCCCAGGAAAAATATTTTATGTTCAAAGGATTTACCTAAACTAACTAAACTTACGGAGAATATCAATCCTAAATAAATATTCGGTTGTGTTTTAGCCTTGCCTATTGGGTAAACAACTTACATGGGATCTTTTCCAAAAGATTTAAGGAAAATTTAGTTATTACTACAATAAAAGCTGCTTTATGACATTGGCACTCTTGAAAGGTTAGCGATAATAAGATAATTATGTACAGTACTGTAAGATGCTCATAGTCCCTATTGAAAAGTTAAGCACAGTACATTCGGTGCTACCATCTTTGTCAAATGTATTTGTTTCTCACATATATAACAAATGATAATATACAACTAAAACTGCTATAATATTTAAATGTAAGAAATGATTTCTATACTTGCCTCTATAATTTATCAGTAAAAGCAATCAGATGAACTGAACTAGAGAAATGTTTCATTTTAAAAATATAAAGAAAGATCTTGGGATTTAAATGGTATTGTGTGTACACAAAGAAGCAAGAGGCCACAGTGAAGATTTACTTTATACTAAGCATTGAACAGAAACAAACTTAGGCTTTGTTAAACCAGACGGGGTTTTATGAGATGCTCTCCAAGGAATGTTCTGTACATAGCCTTTACATTCTCTAAGAGCTCTAGCTGTTACCAATGACATAGAGCTCCTTGTTGAGGATGTCATTTTAGTCTAAAATCAAGTAAAACTGTACCTCAAAATAGAACCAGTACTGACAACACATGGCACAACATATGGGATTATATTTATTAAAGGCATCTGCAGACATATAAAGTAAAATTTCAATATAATCCTGAGACATATAATCAAAAGCCTAAGAGATAAACTGATCAAGAATGGAAAAAAGGAACAAGAGGCATGGATTACTCAATTGAATAACTGTCACCTAAATTTTAGCGATAACAGAAGTGACTGAGAAAGTGAACTAAAATCTTAATGAAATGCAACTTCCCAATCTGCAAAGTTAGAGAAATATCATTTTTATGGCCTCATATATTTATTCATAAATTACCACCAGGCCCAACAGAAATTTTTGGCATTTAGAAAGAGTGATTCAGATGTTTTGATATCATACTTGGTAATGTCTAACATGTTTTTTCCTACTCCCTAAGTGTAGTAATCTTAGACTGTCTTGGCAAGCTAATGTAAGTGTATAGGTTCATACACCTCACACATCTTCATGCATTTTCCTGTTTATTCTTTATCATCATGCCTGCTCAATGGAAGTTCATTCTGTTCGTTCTCACACTCCAGCATTCTTTTTAAAAGCCACATATTTTAAAATGCTATTGTTTCACTGCCAATAGCACCAATTAATCAACAATATTAATTATCTATTATGGAATCTGGAGATGATTTAATGGAATTCATAGTTTTCTACTGTGTGTGTATACATATATATTAAGAAGTGAACATAATCAGCCCTCTTGAAAATTAACGATTAAAAATGAGTCTGTGCTCTCTAAAAAGATATTCGTCACCTCATTTAAAAAGAGAATTTATTTCCTCTCCTGTTAAACTTAAAAGAAACTTATTTTCTACTCATTCTCTAATAAAAACAAATACCCCTAAAGATATTTAAATACCTGTTTAAATACCTGTTTTCTTGTTTTACATCTTATCATTACAAATCTACACTACAAGTTAGCACACTATTCTTAGGATTTTTCAATACAGTGAATAGCATTTAAATTAATGATGTAAATTAATGAACACTAGAATGCAAGTTTCCCGAAGGCAAGGACCAGGAACATGACTCTCTGTAGTAACCTATAGCATTTAACATTAAATTGGCAATTCAATTAATACGTATTCTAACACAATAAATATTTTTCTTAACAGTTATTTACTTCCTATACCAATTTACAATACTCCAACGGGTCTCTCTAATAATCTCTAGGTTTTCCAATGAAACTCAGGAGGACGTATTTTAATTCATACAGATGTTACATAGTATTTTTTAAAGCAAACTTGCTGATGTTGCATTAAAATAATCTTTCTACTCCTATTCAAAATCAAGAACAATGAGTTCAGAATTAACACAGTAGAGTATCTGCATTAAAGTAATATATAATATCAAATAAAGAAATTTTTAAAATACTTTTTTTTTACCTTGGGAAATGTTTTTATTATGGTAATGTGTAAGGGGAAAATAAAACCCTTCTCTTGAAAATGCCATCTGTTTACTAGCAAAGGAATACTAACATATTTGCATAAGAATACAGAAGAACGAAAGTATGAAACAAATTTAGCCTTTGAAAATGAATTTAGACTAAATAAATTTAGTCTTTAATCTGTAATACATACTATTTTATGAGGTAATATTATTTTTGAACAGAAAGTTTTGACTTCTCTTAAATGACAGAGTTATGTCATTTACCTCCAACAACAGTATTACTTAGATTTGCAATTTCAGTTCTATAAACAGAAGAGGTTTGGAAAGCACATCTCAAATTCAGACTGGTGAGCCTTTTGTGCCTTCTAATTATTAATGACAACCTGATTATTCAGAAACTGACTAAATTACTGAGTTTATGGATTAGCTAGCCCCTTTACTTCTTTTTGTCTTGCCTTGTCTTTTAGATGCTCATTACTTGTTTGTAACTTCAATCAGAGGTGCTTGGGCACAATGAAGACAAAACTTCCTAGTTTATTTCTCATTAAAAGGTGTCTTGAAGGTATCCTGAGGAGGACATTTAACTTCCTACACCAAAATAAGGATTCTGAATAAAGATTCTAAACTAACTATGTTTAATTTCATTTCAGCTGCCATAAGAAGTCAAAATGTAAGATGCTGTTAAACAAAGACTTGGTATTATTGTGTGTGTGACAAAGAGAAGTAATAATACTTTTCTCAGTATGCTCTTTGGAAAGAAGCTGAAATCTTACTGAACTTTTGAAAATCAAGTCCCAACATGTGCGCAGCATCCTAAAACAAACATGAAATATTGTTTTATAAGGAAGACCCAAGTTCAGGAAAACTTGGCAGTAAACTTTTTTTTTTAATTGAAGTATAACTGACATACAACATTATATTAGTTTCAGGTATACAACATAATGATTTAATATTTTTATATATGGTGAAATGATCACCACAATAAGTCTGGTTAACATCCGTCATACATAGTTACAAAGTTTTTTTCTTGTGATTTTTTCTTTCTTTTTAAGACCTGCTCTCTCAGCAACTTTCAAATATACAAAACAGTATTGTTAACTATAGTCTCCATGTTGTACATTATATCCCCATGACTTATTTACTTTATAACTGGAAGTTTGTACCTTTTGACCCCCTTCACCCATTTCACCCATCCCTCACCCCCTCCCTCCACCTCTGGCAACCATCAAAAATTTTAGAAATGAAAATAAAAATGAACCCATCTGTTCTCTGTATCTATGAGCTTATTTTGTTTTGTTTTTTAGATTTCACAAATAAGTGAGATCATACAGTATTTGCCTTTCCCTTTCTGATTTACTTCACTTAGCATAATGCCCTCAAGCCAGTAAACACTCTTTTCAAAAATTCTTTAAATTTGTTATTGAAGCCAGTAAACACTCAATGCTTCCTTAGCAGTTATTCCTTATTGATATTTTATGCATTATTATTTTCTACCTTAATTAGAAATAGTGACTTAATAGAACAGAATTAGGCTGTTTAACTGAATTGTTTAGGTTTTCAATTACTGAATGGAAATTAAGCATAATACAGTAGAGAGGTTTTACACTATTTGTACCCAAAACATTCAAATAACCAATACAAAATTTGCTTAAACAGAAAAATAATTTTAATGAACACTTCTATTTTTAATATAAAATAATCATCATAAAATCAGTTAACTAGTCAGTACTCAGTTAATCAAGTGTGACAGTAAAATATTGTTTAAAAAAATTTCCCAATTTACAACAAACAATTCCTGTGCCATTTAGATTTCAAAATGTTAGGACTAACTCAACATAACTATTCAGAGTCCCTGTACAGCACTGACAGTATCCGGGCACTAAATGCATTCTATCATTAAAATACTGAAAGAAAATTACTGTACCTAGATCCCACTGCGCCATCTCCAGAGTCTTGGCTTCCAGCTTCGCTTGGAGTGCTCACAGATTTGGAGGATGGAGACATAGGAGGAGGGACTAAATAGTGAAATAGACAGGTATCCGCTGTTACTACACGGAGAGGTTGCTCAGCTTATGACGTTTCAAAAGTAATTTAACGTGAAGTAATTAACAAAAAAGAAAAAATAATGGCAAACCAAAAAACAAAAGTACATGAATGAAATGAACAGTAGAAAGAAGAGGAGAAAGACAAAGTTAACAATGCATGCTGACGATTCATGCAATTTCTCTGGCAAAATGCATTTGGGCTTTATATTAAAAAAAAAAAAGCGAGATTATGGAAGGATGCATCTTCATCTCGGCCAACACCAAATGTGGGTACTAATTTTCAAAGGAGAGCATTCCTTCTCCCTTTTCTAATTCTTTGCTTTTAAGATCACCAGATCATTTCTAACTAGTGTCAAATCAAAACTCTGAATTTTGCTTCAGAAGTCATTTACTGTCTGGTTTTCTGAGATTTATTTTAAAATGTTCATTTTTGTCAATTTTTTCTTTCAAAAAGAAACTGATGTCTTAAATGATATTTTCCCCTCACCAAAAATAAAAAGGGCCAATTTAGAAAAATGACTATCACTAAAGGAATGGCTCCTTTAAAAGTCCATTAGTTTCCAGCAATTTGGGTGAAAAATGCAAACAGGCCATAAAACAGCATGCCTTCTAGACATGATGCATAACATAAAGTGAGGCATGCAACTTAAACAAGGCAAGACTTAATGGTAACTTCCTTACCCCAGTATTCAGAAAAAACTGAAGTGTACAGACAAAGATACAGACACCCAAAATATTCTTAATCCCTTCTTATAGAAAAATACACATTTTTCATAGTATATAAAACAAACAGCAAATGCTTTCCCCTAACTTGTCACTTTTAACATTATATACCAGCAGCTGAACGTGAGTATTTCATGCTATTACATTTGTAAAACTTTTTGAAGATCATCACTGCCATCTTCTGGTTAAATTTTACCATAAATGACCCCAATCCCAAGTATCTTTTTAAAATAATTTTTCAATGTACAATATTAAGTGACCAATATATTTTATGTTGTGCTGCCAGCCCTTCTTTTAATAGTTTACTGAAAAGAAAGTAAGTTCCTAGTTATATAGAAACCAATCTAAAGAAATATGTATTTAATTAAAAGTCTGTGTTTTTGGAATAGTCACATTCACTGAACCCTTAAAATTATGTTTAAATGTTTATATATGCTTCAGTAAAAAGTGGGTTTGCTCACCTAACAAAATGCGCAAGTATAGTATAATGAATTACATCTTAAACATAGGTACAAAACTGATCATCCTTATTTTTCAATGCCAAATTCTATTGGAAACCAATAAAAAGATTAGAAGAAAAAAAAAATCATAGCTAGAATGTTTGTTTCCTGAGATACAGTGGTTAATTCTTGCTCAAATTTCAAAAGACCATAAAAACATAATAAAAGGTTTCTAATTTTGTGATTAAATCTCTCAGAAACAATGCTAAAACCAAATTGCCTTCATATAATTCACATCATGGTATCACTGTGCTAGGGGCTGCATGTATAACTCGTAGCTAAACAAGACTTGTATCTGAAGTAAAAGAATATTAATGTCCCCTAATTTCTCTTAGGTTACATTTTTCCTCATCTTTTTGTCCACTACTCACTGTGAGGCTTCCCCTAGGCATCTAAGTTCCAACTGATACAGGACAGTGGTTTGTCTACTACATTGTAAGCACAAATATGTTTATTAAATTATTTAGTATAAATTACTAAATATTTAGTAGTATAAATTTACTACTAAATATTTAGTAGTACAAATTTAATAAATTTATACTACTACAATGTTTTCATATTAAAGATTTCCAAAGAAGAAATTTTGAATTCTTTAAATTAAAAAGTTAACTTCAGGCTTAGGAAAATAATTTTTCTAAGTATACATATAGGAAAGATTTGAGGAAAATAGTAACATTCCTATCAATCTAATTATTTGTGATAAATTATAAAATTCTTTTCCAGTTAATGTTTTTTCCCCTTTCTGGTGACTTCAAATATCTATGATTCCACTCAATACGTTCATCACCAGTATCTTAATTGGTTAAGACTACATTAAAAGAAAAATACGTTACCTCAAATCCTTTATGAAAACAGGTTAAATAGTAATTATACATACATAAATACACTAAACTAGCCAATTCTCAAATAAAAGTTTCAGAAATAAAAAATAAGTTACACGGGTGATGCAACCAAATTATCACTGTTTCTCAGCCAGAAGCAAGATAAATCAACATAACTTCAAATTTGTAATTAGATAAAAATCTCCATCCCAGAACTATATTCTTTCAACCAAAGATAGTTTTCAAGCCAGCTGATAAGAGACTAATTAAGGACTCAATGTTATTATCTGGCCCACCAAATTCATCTTTCAATAATAAATAATCTATACCACAGAAGGGACAAACCTAGAAAAAGAAAATTACTATCACTGAAAAAGGAGGAATGTTAATAGGAAAAAAGGGAAAGGTAGTGTTATATGGTGACTACCATATTTTAACCCAGTTAGTCTAGAAAAATCAAAGAATACAGGAATTGCACAATAAGGCAATGTCACTATATTCCCAGACTCCAATAAATGACCCCTCCAAATGAATAAAAGCATGCATTCAGGGAGGTTAAAAAAAAACTAAACTCATAGTCTCTCAAATCTCAGAAAGGGCTTAATTCTAGAGTTCATTTTTAAAGACGGTTTAAGAGTACAATCAGCTTTAGAAATAACATAAGCTATTATTAATTAGCTTTTGCCAAATATCTGAAATATGATTTGCATAGTAAGAACAGTGATTCAATCAGATCACCTTTACTCCACAGTTCTATATATAAAATAGCCTAAAACAAGGCTTTAAAAATGGTACAAAAGATTTAATATTAACATATATGAGTTAATCATGTGAATGTTTTTAAACTTCTTAGAAGTTTAGAGCAAAGATACCTATTTCTTTCTTAGAAAACCAAGGAAGAAATGTAAAGTAAACTGAAAGATCTACACCATGGCATTCACTGATCATGCAAGTAATACTGAAAGGCTGTGACTCTGATTCTTTAGGACAGAAAGACAACCAAGAACCATGAAGGCCTTTCCTGCTAGCTTAGATCTTGGCCTCCCAAGGATATAAAATTAACACTACTGCCATTTAGCCTGTGAAGGAACAACTAGAAATTTTAAAACCACAAAGGACCTGGGAATGCACCTAGATTTAGAAACCAGAGTTAAGTCTGAGTCAACCACTCAGAACTATAACGAAGTCTCAGAGATGAACAAGGACGGTGCGCAGCTCAATTACTTTTTTTTTTTGCGGTACGCGGGCCTCTCTGCTGTGGCCCCTCCCGTTGCGGAGCACAGGCTCCGGACGCGCAGGCTCAGCGGCCATGGCTCACGGGCCCAGCCGCTCCGCGGCATGTGGGATCTTCGCGGACCAGGGAACAAACCCACGTCCCCTGCATCAGCAGGCGGACTCTCAACCACTGCGCCACCAGGGAAGCCCTCAATTACTTTTTTTTTTCTTTTTTTTTTAATTTGCGGTACGTGGGCCTCTCACTGTTGTGGCCTCTCCCGTTGCGGAGCACAGGCTTCGGACGCGCAGGCTCAGCGGCCATGGTTCACGGGCCCAGCCGCTCCGCAGCATGTGGGATCTTCCCGGACCGGGGCACGAACCCGCGTCCTCCTGCATCGGCAGGCGGATTCTCAACCACTGCGCCACCAGAGAAGCCCCCTCAATTACTTTTTAAGTAGAAAAAAGTCTCTAGCAAGAAGGGGCTCTTGCCAGGAAGAAGAACCCAGAAAATGTGGACAGCCAAAGAAAGTAAATGTAGGGAGTGGGAATATTGGCAGAGCACAAATGGGAAGAGAGAGCTTCTGAGATAACCAAAAGTTGTGAGGCCCCTTGTAGCTCATCTATCTATGATACTCAACACTCAAACACAGTCTGAGTTACACAGTAATGCCCTCTTGTGGATACAAGTGCTCCTAGGCTGGAATATTAACATTTAAATATCTATTTAAGTTTTCATACTTACTCTTTTTGTCCTGAAAGACAAACCTTAATTCTCTGACACAGATGTAGAAAACAAACGTATGGACACCAGGGGGGAAAGTGGCAAGGGGGGCAGGTGGTAGTGGTGTGATGAATTGGGAGATTGGGATTGACATATATACACTAATATGTATAAAATGGATAACTAATAACCTGCTGTATAAAAAAATTTAAAAAATTCAATTTAAAAAACCCTTAATTCTCTGAAATATTAGTTTCTCCCTTTCATATGACCCCTTCTCCTGATAACTTTAAATATCCTCCCCTTACCTCCCCTAAATGTTTCCTTTATTCGCTTCAATGTAATTCAGAGCATCAGATAAATTTTTTTAAAGAAATTAATAAAAATAAAATTTTATAGCATTAAAATACTATAAGGAACTGTTCTTAAAATTAGGCTAAACTTGAAAAAATGACTTGATAACATGGAAATCATTCTATCTAAAAATCAGACTTACGAGTTAGAGAAATAAGTGCTAGGGATGTGATGTACAACATGATGACTAGAGTTAACACTTGTATGATATATAGGAAACTTTAAGAGAGCAGATCCTAAGAGTTCTCATCACAAGGAGAAATTATTTTTCTTTTCTTTTTATTGTATCTATGAGATGATGGATGTTAACCAAACCTACTGTAGTAATCATTTCACTATATATATAAATTAAACCATCATGCTGTATACTTTAAACTTACACAGTGATGTATGTCAGTTATTTCTCAATAAAACTGGAAAAATCAGATTTAAAATATTCAAAAGTTACAAGGGAGGGAAATAAATGAAGCAATACTTATTTTGACTACTGAACTTCTTTTGTTTATTCCTAATAAAAAAATTATCACACTAATCGATGTACTGTGCCCTACTGATACAGACTCAGGCTACAGAGTGATTGACAAAACCTGTTTTCATCTCTACAAGATGGTTAAAACAGTAGTTACACATACAAAA